TATATGAATATTTCCTTCCTTCCTCCCTCTCTATCTTTTTGAAGAGAGGTTTTCAGGATCAACTGGAATTCACTATATAATTCAGGCTGGCCTTGAACTCTCATCCATGCTCCTACTCCTCTCCTACCCAATTCCTACAAGTGCTGGAGTTATAGTCAGGAACTACCCTGCCCAGCTTCCATGCACTTGCTCTCTCTCCCATGTAATCACATTCATTCTCTCTCTGCCTCTTTCCTAGGTTTCCTACTTTTAGTTTTGGGTACTCATTTATTAGGAATGCCTGCTCTGAAACCAGCAGTCTTCTGGAAACCTTAGCCTCTGGAAAGGTACAATACAGGTGTGCACCTCTAACCCGGCTATTCCTTTTTCCCAATCTCTTTTTTTCCTGGATTAGCAAAACTAGTTAAAATTGTTCCAAAGGCACTTTTTTTTTAAAAAAAAGATTTTATTTATTTATTTATTTATTTATTTGAGACAGGGTTTCTCTGTGGCTTTGGAGGCTGTCCTGGAACTTGCTCTGGAGACCCGGCTGGTCGCGAACTCACAGAGATCCGCCTGTCTCTGCCTCCTGAGTGCTAGGATTAAAGACGTGTGTCACCAACGCCCGGCTAAAGATTTTATTATGTATACAATGTGTATCTGCACACCAGAAGTTAAAGACGTGTGTCACCAACGCCCGGCTAAAGATTTTATTATGTATACAATGTGTATCTGCAGACCAGAAGAGGGCACCGGTTGTGAGCCACCATGTGGTTGCTGGGAATTGAACTCAGGACCTCTGGAAGAGCAGTCAGTGTTCTTAACCTCTGGGCCATCTCTCCAGCTCCCAAGGGGCACTTTTAATAGTAAGCCAAAAGAAACTGAAAATGTTATAACACTAATATGCAAGCTAACTACTGTTCTGAATTTGAACAACAGTGGGCTAGATTAAATCCTTCCCATGTGCCAATTCTGAATAGAACAGATACAAGTCAAAACATCATTTGGGGGAGCTGGAGAGATGGCTCAGCAGTGAAAACACTTGTTGCTGGGATCTGAGTTCAGTTCCCAGTACTCACACTCCTCTCTAGTTCCAGGGCTCCCAACACCCTGTTCTGTATTCTCTGGGCACCAGACAGACACTTGGTGCAGAGACATACATGCAGGCAAAACACTCATACACATTAAATAAAAACAAAAAAATCTTTAAAAAAATTAAGTGAATAAAAAAGTCAAGCGTTATAAAAATGCCTTTGACAAATAGATACAGTAAAGAATTTTTATTGTTAAAAATTCATTGATGTGAATAATTTCTAAAGTTGGGAATGCGTTTTTCTCGGAAACTGTGTCTTGACATGGGAGGCTGTGGTCATTAGTGTGGTTAACATGTAGGCCGGGAACTTTCATTTTCATTCTTAAGTTCCACTGGCTTTTTAATTTGCCTCAATAAAGAAAGTACTTCCTTTCATTCTTGGTTCACAAACACTCCTGTCCCTTTCTAGTTACCCTGTAGGAAGCCTTAGGGGTCACCCATGTCACTTTCCTGACCTGTTATTTACATAGAATGTCTCACTGGCTTCCTAGTAGAGTATGTTCTCACTGAGGATAAGTACTTGCTGAGTGCCTAGTCAAAGTATCTCTATTCCTCATCCCACAAGACTCAGATAACATTATGGAAGGGAGGAGGAAAGAATATAAGAACCTAAGGAAAAGGGCACCAGGAAACCCTGTCTTCTGGACACGGTGTGCACATTATACTCATGAACTCACATTTATGAACTTGGGTTACCTTGCCCAAGATTTTGGGTAGATGGGTGAAGGGCTCATGCAACCTCACCCCTTAACTAAGAAGCTAGTGGCAATTCCTAGCTGCTGGGTGAAGGAGAATCATTTTCTTCAGGGTGTAGGCATTGGTTAAGTTGCCCATGATCCAGTAAATAATCCTGTACCAAAGCACATGCTAGCAACCCTAAACTCAACAGGTTATTTTTAAAAGAGAAAGAGACAGATAAACATGGAGTATAAGAGGGGTTGTGTTGAGAAGAAGGGCTCCAGAGGAAGTGGGGAATAGAACTTCAGATATGGAGGAAGAGGGGTATGGGAACAAAATACATTCTAAACATGTTTGAAATTGTCCAAGTATAAATAAAATATGTTTAAAAAAAATTGCAGGGCTGGAAAGATAACTCAATGGTTAAGAGCACTGGTTGTGTTAAGACAGGGTTTCCTGGTGCCCTTTTCCTCAGGTTCTTACTTTCTTTCCTCCCCCTTCCATAGAGTTATCTGAGCCTTGTTGTGAGATGAGTAATAGAGATACTTTGACTAGGCACTCAGCAAGTACTTATCCTCAGTGAGAACATACTCTACTAGGAAGCCAGTGAGACATTCTATGTAAATTACAGAGGACCTGGGTTCGCTCCCCAGCACCCATGTGGTGGCTCACAACTCCAGCTCTAGGGGATCCAATGCCTTCTTCTGGCCTTTGAGGGCACCAGGCACAAATATGGTGCACAGACGTACATGCAGGCAAAACATTCATACATATAAAATAAAAATAAATACATCTTTTCAAAAAGTACTTTTTTCTCTACCCAGCTTCTTTCTTTATTTGTGCTCAATTTCCTTGTTTCTCATGTTTTCCAACTATAAATAAATGGTTGGACTAGATAAAAAGGTTCTTTGTAGCTCTAAAGGTTAATGATTAAATATTTACATGACTTACAAGTTCACACTGAATAAATATTAGATATTCAAACACATCTTCCACTAGAGTGTTTTTAAATTTCAGGCCCGAGGGGTGAGCACACTATTTTAAAGTGTATATACAAAGTGTAAAACAGTGTCTATTTTTTATTTTTATACATCCGTGTTTTGTTGAATGGATATACATGTACTATTTGTGTATATTTAAGTATGTAGCATGCGTGCACCGGGTACCTCAGAGGTTAGAGGAGAATGTCAGATCCTCTGGGACAGGAGTTCTATATGAGCAGACATGGAGATGCTAAGAACTAACCTGAATCCTCTGCAAGTGTAACAAGTGCTCAGAACTGATGAACCAACTCTCTAGCCCAACATGACTATTTCTGACTATCTGACTCTGCCTTAGTTTGAAGGAACAGTGCCCTGCAAACGTTTCCCTTCACAAATCCTACACACACTTCATACATGAGTGAAAACAAAAAAATAGTTTTGCATTGGTGTTTTATTCTAGATTATCTCTAACAGTCAAAATACAATAAAGGGGAAGCACTTAGCTTTAACAATCAGAGGTTGTATAAGTTATAGGCAAAGGCATATATATGCACAGTAATAAGGCTCAAAGTTCATTAAATAAGGAGGCCTTTTCTTCTTACTAGCCTCTCTCTGTGTGTGACTATGGTGCTCAAATGCTTTTAAGCTTCCGAAGCTGTTTATTCCTGCTTTCAACTACTACAAATACGCATACATTAAGAATATCTAAAAATCACTTTAAAGGTCAATTTTAAAAGTACTTTTGTAGACTTTCTATGGTCATGTGAAATACAATTCATTTTAAAGTACTTAATTATGCAAAATTTCAAGGTAAATTAAAAAATTTCATGAACTATGCAGTTTAGAATGTTTTCAAAAGCTACTAATTTAATTCTAAAGAAAGAATTTCTTAAACATAAAATCCAATTCAAATACTATATGAATGAATGTTCTTCATAGAGCTCCACTTGGAAATCACATAATTTACACTTTTCTTTTCTCAATGCAAGAGATTCAACCCCTTGTGTCATAGGCACATGCTCTACCACTGGGCTATATCCAGTTTGTTATTAACTTTCATTTTTTCCCTTTCTGAAATAAATTTAGAAACACAAAAAGTAATTAAAGCTTCAGGTTTAAGCTTGGTGCTCTGGTTTATACATGTATAATAGCAAATCATTATTTCATGAATCCTTTGAAATGTCCCAGTATCTGTCCTGCCCTCCTAACAGGCAATAGAGCTCTTACAATGATGAAATGACTGGTACCTGTCCAGGTTAACCTCAAATGGGCCTCTCAGCTGTTCCCTTTCTATGGTTATAAAGAAATTTAACATATGATTGTAAAGGTAAACCCTAAATTGCTTAGTTTGTGAACAGCGAGAGCTTGGGGTTGGGGAGCAAACACATAAAATATTTTTGATGTTCAAGGAGAGAAAGGAGATTTGGCTGTCTGATAATGAAAGAATCAGAAATGGTTTTATGAACATTTCCAACTGTTTAAACACTTTTTAACCAACCTTTTATACATATAAACAATGAGGATTATATTGTTTCAAAGAACAGTGAAAATTCCTCAGAAATGTAACACCAGGTCCTTCACAAAGACTGGTAGTTTTAGTTTCAATAAATTCTTCCTTTCTTAAATCTTTTTCTCTTAATCTAATAACCTGTCCATGCTCAATGGAGAATTAATAAATTCAAAGTTTCTTAAAGTATTCTGAACTTTTCAAAAGAACAACAACTGTTCAAATAAATAAGGGCATCAATAAACTAAATTTCTGAAATGATTGCGTGCATACACATTTATGTATGTGAAAGCAAAATTAGCCATATTTTAAAGGACAAAACAGGTTGGCCAACATCTGTTTATGTTTAAGATAACTGTACAAAGCAATGATCTAGTAACACTTGGAAAACCCTCTAAAGCCATGAGATACACAGGCAGCCAGAGGCTATAAAGGCTTCTCAGGCTCCAACGGCTTGGCTGAAAGGTTCTCTTCCATACTTGGAAACTTGATTAGCATTATATAAAAACGCCATATCTGACGTGCTGCGTAACCAAGGTTGTGGTTATTCTTTATACAGCATCTAAAATTTCACACTCCATCAACACATGTTCAGGCCATTTTATCTTGGCAATTAATTTATTATTTTTCAGAACACAGTGAAGCCTTGTTTTCAAGTCATTCATAACTTTATAAATCAGTCTTGCACATGAAACCCAGGCATCTGTGAACCGTAGAAAATCCTTGCACTCAGGAGATTAAGCTCCTGACACCTTTGCTGATTAATAATCATGGAAAGAATAAGATCAGAAACAAAATAAATGATCATTTAATAGAGAAACTCACAAAACAGCCCTTTAACTTACATATTCCATCATGTTGTTCGTTTCACATTTCCTTTTGCTCAGTCTCCAGTGCAAGCACAGCTAGACACGAAGAAAGGCAAAAGAAGAGAAATGAGCTCTGTTTTCCTAGGCACAAGGCTCACCCATTCGTCCACCTTTCATATTTTCAGCCAACAAAAGCATCTGTTTCCATACTGTGCAATTCAGAGCCCAACAGTACGAAGCTGCTCCCTGCAGTACTCACCTTGTGGTATAACCTATTGTTTTCCCATTCTAATAACTTCTCAATCGATCTTCGTGTCTGGAAGACAAATGAGGGGAAAGTTTACTCTTGACTGGTTTTAGAAAAGCTGTTTTGCAGCTGCTTTTTGTGTGAAAAGGGAAGAAGTATAAAATGATGACAAGAGTGGTCTGTACTCTACACGGTCCAGCACTAAGAAGCTCATCAGAGACAGTAGTTTGTAAAGAAACATTGATTTTGTTTTAAGTATATATGCTTATATTTTTAAAGTACTTTGAACTTGCTAGCCTTTCATTTAAAACTAGTAGTCTAAAAAGCAAATGCCATTTCATTTAAACTTAAATCCCTACTTCTTTAGGAAATATTTTTCAGTATTTAAATAGTAATGAACATCCCTTAATCTCTATTTTTAAAACAATAATAATTTAAATATTAGTTAACAAAATATAAATGGCCTTTAGGGTAAATGTAAAAACACTACTAACTGAAGGCTAATAAAGGGAGAAAATGAGTTATAAAAATCAAACTAATTTTAGGACTGTACAAGAAAATCAGTTCATTGGTTACTGCAGTTTTCAAACAGCCAAATTTTTATTTAAAGCAGCATAAATGTTGTATCTGAGAGTAAAATTGATTCTTAATCCAAGGGTACTTACTGCTTCAGGGCTTCCCTTAGTTGCTGCACAGACTAAGCAGCATGGACCACTCTCACTTGGGAGTGTGAATAAAGAAGCTAATGCATGGAGCCAGGTGTCAGGATGAGACTAACTCTGCAGGTGCAGAAGTGATAGCACTGCTAAGAGACCAACTGCAACTTGATGCAGCTGCAGCTTTCTTGAGAAGGAAGAAGGCATCTACCGATATTAAATGTGGCACAACTGTAAATAAGTCCTGATAATCTGATGGAAACTTGAATGCCAACCAGCATTGAGTGATGTGAAAAACTGGTAGAACAAGCTGGTTTTGAAGTCTGTTACATAAAAATGTTACGATGTATTTAAAGTATCTACTGTAATCCAGTTCCAGCATTACATCTCAGCATGTTGAACTGCTACAAAGACACTGAAGTCACAGAGGCACCAATTATAATTCATAGCTAACAACAAATTACCACGAGTGCTTATATTTTCCAATTTTATGTCATAAAAATCAGAAAATCAACATTTTCTGGCAATAATATGTCAATGACTAATTTATTACAATTTTTGAACAGTCTTTTTTGGTAAGAATTTTAAAGAAAAAGTGCCCTTGTTAGCAATGATCAGCAGCCCTCACTTGTTTCTTTGTAAGATAGCCTTTTAGAGGCAGCTCTCCTTTTAAATGAAAATAGGGCAGCAGTTATGGTCACACTTTTTGTTAATTTAGTTGCCAGTCAGCCCCAAATCAAAAGAAAATAAGGCTGCAGAGAGTAATTAACATTCAGTTCAGTCGTTTTGTCCCTTGTCTAGCCCCCAAGCTTTGTTAAAATTGCCATCTGAATGCTGAAGGCTGTAGGGAAATCGATTTGATTCTAATCGCACCATGAAAAGAACATGATCTAACTGCTTTCAGCCCTCCGTAAATCTGTACTAGGTCTTTAGCACAATGCAACTTCCAATTTAAAAAGCACTGAATGTCTCGTCAATGACTTTGTGAAGAAAAAAGAACAAGGAGCAGACATAAAAATTCCAATAGTTGTTTAAGCATTAAAGTTCATTTGCATCACAGCGAACCTGAAAAGGGCTGACCTCTCAAACCGCCTCTCAGGTCTATGAAGTTGTAGCCTTGACAAGCTCACATTGACAGAGCTCATTGACTCTGAAAGGCTACTCTATCAATGGTGAAAAATGGCAATAGGTTCTACTATGAGCAGGCATCTGCCTGCCCACCCGCTGCTAAACCAATGGTAAAACCGTTTCAAAACCTGAATCCACCTTGTAATCTTCCTTTCTAGGACCTTTTAATAATAGATTAAGATTACTATACAATTTGAGGTTTTACTTTTACTGATGGTTTAAAAGAAGATGGGGAAAATTAAAGAAATAGAGTAGGGAGAAATAGCTCTTGAAGTCTGTTGTTTTATAGTAAAACTATATAAAAGTAGTTGCTAAAAACTTAACATTACATTTTGCAATATTTATTATTCAAAGAAAAGAGTGTTTTTTAAACCATATCAACTTATCAGAATTATAAGCTATGCTATATACAGTGAGAACATCTTATTATCATTCATACATAGATATATACGCATGCACACATACACATGACATTTACAAACTTAAAAATATTTACTTTTATCTTAAATCAAATACCAGTATTTGTATAAAGATAATTACGAAGTATGAACCTAAAATTCTAAAATATTTATTTAGGAACTTCGAATTTATTCTTTGTCTCTAATTAGGAGTTTAATAATAGGGTTGGGTATAATTGTATCCCATAATATTAAGAATTCTAAAGCAAACAAAGTTTGCTATGCCATACTCTGTATGATCATCTGAATATTCAATATTTCTACACTGTTGAAGTCTGAAGTAAAGCTGTGAATTAGCACCATCTAATCTTGCTATAAGACTTCTCTCCTGCTTGACAGGTGAAAAAAAGGCACTTGCACGTGCAGCTTAATTAATCACTGCACTTGACATCTCAATGATTTGCAGCGAGGAGCAGGTGAGAACACACAAAACCAGAAAGGAACCCTTGATTTGAGTAGAACATTTCTAGCACACTAAGGTGACAAGTAAGTGATTCTAGCAATGATTTAAAAAAAAAAAAAAAGTAAAGAAAGAAACTGTGCCACAAATTATTTGTTAGTAACAACAAAAGATCAAATTAAATGGAAGAAAAAAAGGCTTAACCATAGAGAATGTTTAATACTATGCAATTATTTTTAGTTAACAAAATCAAAATATATTTTCAAGATGAAGTACAATACCAATTTGGCAGATAGTGGGGGAAATATGACATTTCAGCATTATAAAAGCTATTTCAAAGCTTTTAAACTTCAGTGGGAAGAAAGCACATTTTAATTACAGTCATCTAGAAATAAAAGTTAAGAGTTTATGTCCACAGGGTTGTCAGATTCTAATGAGATATTAAAATTCAACACAGCCAAATCTAGTATCTATTAACCGGACAAGCAAATCTAATCATATAAATACCTGTCATTTAATTTGAAGGGATTATACTACCTTGCAAATTCAAAATATTTTAAGTTAAAAGGATCAGAAAAAAATACATATCAAACATGGAATACCAACAAAATATTATTCTTCTAGGCAACTTTCTAAAAATAAGACATATTATCTTCCTTAAAAGAATTTAGTGCTTGAGAAAAATACCAGATTGATAGTCATGGGAACTAAAAAATCTTCTGTTTAGCTGAAAGGACAGGAGAAAGGGCAGTGCAGGCTTCAGTACAAGTTCCCTACAGTGGGCCTTAATCCTTTTCAGTACTCACACACTGGGGTGGAAAGACAGGTTAGTGGCTCTTTACCAATGAATCCTCAGTCCTTCTGCCTAGGCTGTCAACAAGAAACCTACTTTTATCACATAGAGTCTTGAATTAGAAAAACAAGACCACTAACTTACACCACGTAAGTAAAGCAAGACTTGGGTGAGATGCTATCATGCAGTGAACCTGGGTTAGAACAGCAGCTCCCAGCATCTAGACCCCCACCAACCTTCCTCATCAAAGCTCATTACGAATGACAGTTCAATAATATTAACTTCTTTTCATTACAACATCTTTACAGTTACATTTTTCTCACCGTAAGCTAGTTCTAACATAGATGCTTGGTTATATTAGAGTGAATAAAATTCGAAAACATTTCAATTACTGAACAGGCAGTACAAACTTAAGCTAAGCATTTGGGTTTATTTTTATGCCTTTAGCACAAATTTTTTGATAGAATCATGGAAGAGTCAGAAAATCCAGATTAAACATTAGAATTCATACAATGGCTAAAAGGATGATTGATCAACAATTAATAGTAAATATGGCATACAGTTATTACTTCTAAAGAAGAATTGAGAAGCAATTTAAAGCTTAAAACAGTAAAACATAAATCACCAAAATCTTAACTACTGAAATAAAAAATTTAGACTTCCTCAAAATTAAAATTTGATTTACTTAACTAAGGCCTTTGTGTAATTGTTACTAAACATTCTACTTTTCTAAGGAATAAAGTATTAATCCCATAAACAAGTTCACATTATGAGCCACTAAACATAAATGAGTCTTACAGGACAATGAGTTATAATATCTTGAATTTGTTGCCACCATTACTTAATATTCACACTCAGTTGTTGAAAAAAATGGTTTTTCAAATTTTTACAACCATTTACAAATGTTCAACAACTTAAACATGCAATTAAAATGTTTTTGAACTGGATTTGTATTAAACAATATTAAGGCAAATCTCAAATGTTCAATTTCCTATTTAAAATATTTTGAAATTCAAACTGCTAAGTTTGTAATTCCTCAATTAAAATTTAACTAGAATAATGCCTCTAATGCATTTATAATTTTATTTTTTAATCTTTGTGTGTTTTTTGAATAAGAATCCATCCTTTGGCATTTATACAAAATGAAATCATGGAAATAAGTGAAACAATGATTTTGAGTCGATTAGAAGGAAACTGTGTAATTTAGAATGAATTACTTTAACTTAAGAGACAATTATGTGAATCACTTCTGTTTGTTCTGGATTAATGTTAAATCTCACATTCCAGTGGTGAACTGAAAATTAAGTATATCTCAGTATCATTACGAATACAAAACCTGCATTTCGCAAAGATAAACAAAAATATGAACTGATTCCTCAAAAGAAATTTTAAACAAATTTCCTTCCTTAAAATCTGCATATCAACACTGACTTTCAAAGTCTGGATGTTTCAAGAAGCCCTGGCCAGTATTAGGACATGCTGCTGTTTGTTACAGGGGAGGATTAGACAGCAGAGGGACCTCAACAACTGGGAACATTTGCCCAACAAAAACACCCTCTTCCTGCGGCGCTCAGCAGTGACTTTAAAGGAGCTCAGCTATGCACAATTGCATGGCATTTCATCAGGTTAGCAAG